TAACAGTCCCGTGGGCCTTTTCACAGTCACAGAACTAATTACCCTTTCAGCTGGCTAAGGAAAAATGAGCCTAACTGCTGTTATTTCAGTTGTGGATGAGGCATACACCACACAAAAACACTGGTAAGAAGTCCTGCAAGGCACTGAGGCTATGTTAGCTTTGTAAAGGGGTTTCCCTGGCTTATCTTGACGAGACAAATGCTTCCTTATGGTCCAGAATCCGTGCTTCCAGCACACTCCTCTCCACATCTCGTTAAGTGTCAGACACCTCCATCTACTGTACAAGAGATTTTCCTGATGAATTCACCTCCAAATGCAGTGGGAAACGATTAACTATAATGCCATTGACACTTGTTCCCCACATTTTCAATTAGCTAATACAAACAATAAACAATATAAAATGGTCAAAGGCATGTAAACTACAGTTAGGCTATTGGTTGTTTTGCCTTTTTTAAAGCTTCAGCTTTAGTGACTCATCTCGCTTTCATTTTCACTAGTATTCCAAGGTAAATGAATAACAATAAATTATAACAACAGTATTGCAATATACAATAAAATCAGTTTTGAGCTGCGGATTAAAACTAGGTCTCAATAATCCAGGGAAAGTTTTGCAGTGGAGTTGGTACAGAGCTTAAATATTCCTCAGCACACTTCTGTGCAAAGTAATCTGCAACGCACCCTGCCATAGCTTTCACACATCGGTTCAGCTTACAGTTACATAAAGAGACATTTGTGAGAAAAAGGCAAGCAGCAGAGGAGGAGATGTGCTGCACGCAGCAAGTGCCACAGCAGAGGAGAGCGGCAGTTCGACTGCCCCATCTCTGCAGTCCGCTCTACCCACTCCAAACTAGGGCAAGAACATGGAATAGCCATTAGATGGCAACAACTGCAAATTACTTCTTGTCCCTCCTGCCTCTGACCCAGTGACCTAAAATAATCCACCTAAAATACATCCAGTTTTATCACAGTTCAAAGCAAGTACAGACCTTGCTTCCTGTGCTAGGGTGGCTTTTAAGTGAATAGAGGGCCATCAGCAACCCTCCCTTTGAAAGGAAGCCGCTTCTGGGAGCCAGTGTTGGGCAGCTCTCCTGCAGTACTACAGCAGGGGAACGTCACCTTCTACTGATGAGATGTCTATAGCTTGTTCTAAGACCTTTAAAAGATCTACTTGTATAGGTAAATCCTCTGAAAAACCTATTCTATTAGAAGTTGTTTAAATACTTCAGGAAATGTCTTCAGTACTGATAAACAGCAGGTATTGGAATCCAGCAGCTTCATTTTGACACTCTTCTACATTCGATAATATTTATATCTATTTATATTTCTGTTTATATTTGTTCCATAAATTCTGAGTATGGAATGTTAACTTTAGAGATTTCTTTGGCTTATATTCTTTCGTATAAATCCAAATAAGAGTCTAGATTTTAACAGAGAAGTTTAATATAAAATTTAACTATTTTATACTTGACAGGACTGTCTCCACCATGCACAAACAAAAAAAAAAAAAGAATTAGAATGCTATTTTACCTGCATTTCCTTCCTATTCTTATAATTGATTGTAAAGGAGACAGCTACTACACATTTTCTCTACCACACAGGCTCTTTTTTACATTAGACAGTATTTGTTCTGGTTTAACAGAAGTAGCAAGCAAAACCACTCACAAAACTGCCTTCCTGCCAGTGATATCACAGTCTAACACAACCTATGCTGGGAAAGATGTCCTTCACTTAGGTTGATAGAGGACATCTACAAGAATATCTAACAGAAGTTTATTTTCCATGCACATAGTAATACATACAAGGGTATACACAAAGAAAATAATGTTGCAAATAAGATTAACAGAAATATTTATACATTTTTTAAAAATTCATCAACTTAAGGTGAATATCTACTTTAAAACTCAGCTTGAAGTCGATAGGGGCAGACATATAGTGGACTATCACACAATAAAAAGCGAATTGTGGTATTAGCAATAGAAACTGTTCATTTGACACGGTGACGATAGACTGACTCGACAGTGACAGTTGTTACCTAGCCACCAGAAGGAATTTATATTCTGCTAGGTAGTAAGTCTCACAGGTGAGAATTGCTTACTGAGCTCTTTTCCTAGGGAATCACCTCTACGCAGGTGGGCAACATCCGTAAATCTATATAATATTTTACTTACTTTTAGCACTGACGTTGCCCAAGCTGGTGATTGGAATTCATGCAAATATCAAAGTAGGAAAGCGTGCAGTTCACAGAGTGTGCATTATCAGCAGTTGCGCTTTCCTCTCTGCTTCACCAAGACAACAGAATATTCCTAAGGCTTGGTACACAGCAGTATAAAAATAGCGTTAGAGACATATAAAATGACACCAGGTCTATTTTCACTTGTCTATAGAAAGAAAACAGAGCTGTGAACCTGGTCGTCATAATACAGTCGCAAAATTGTCTTGCGAAGAATGCATTTTTAAAAGAAAAGAGGAACACTGCACAGCCCTAGACATCAGACGGAAATCAGACCAACTTGGTTGCTCACCTTCATTTTCACTTTATATGAATTCTATTTAACATCCATTTAACTGAATCAGCAGCAGAACAGCTATCAAATACACCAGGTCAACTCCTCCCAACCTTTATGGATAGAAAATACTACAGAGAAGAGATGTAGTGCACCAGAATATCTAATTAGTAGACAATGTGGTCATTCACCACCTAAAAAAGCATACAAGCAGTGACAGGATTGAAAAGGCAGGAAAAAGAAGACCAGTGTGCCCTGAATGTGTGTAAGACTGCTTTACACACAACATTTGCATGAACAGGCTTATTTGCGTAACCATAGGTTCATGAATCTATATCTCACTTGGAATAATTCTCACTGAGGGGAATGCTGGATCCCAAACCCCGCCTGTGCCGACGCTAACACCAAAGGACTAGCCTACATCTCAGTTACACACACTTGCAGTTCTTTCGTCAAGCAAACAGGAACTTATTTACAGGAAGCTCTGCAAAGTGCAGATTGCTAATAAGATCCCTTACATGACCTAATGCAACGAAAACAAAAGCTGTGGAGCAACATTCCTCTTCACTGCAGTGTGGTGCTAAGGTGGTACTTCAGACCCAGATAATTACTTCTAGTCTGTCGCATAGTTTGTACACTTCAAGTCCAATACTAATTTTGAGATAGTGTCTACAGCCCAAATCAGTGACAGATATTCCAGTGTACCAGGGACTGAGTACATATGCATCATCTTCTGTAATTACTTTTTTTAAAGCTTGCCATGACTAAGAGTAAATATTTGGAAGTCAACATGCTGAAGACAGTATTAGCTTTTCTCCAAATAACAAGTATCCAAACAGTTGCCTGGCTAGCTTTCAAGGCATCATTTTGCCAACAGCGGCTCTCACATTTTATAACTTCAGAAATTATTTCAATCTACCAGAATCACTGGACCTACTGGGATAGTTTCAAACGCAATAGGGCAGTCTTCAGAGCTGACACACGGAGTGAACTAGCATTTCCTAATAAAAGACAGACACCATCCCACTGCTATGAAAGTGCCTGCCAAATCTAACAGCATTATGAGAAAGAAGGTATGAAAATGAGAATCAAACCCATTGTGTGATTTAATATGTATGAGAGCAAACAACACTAGAGCTGTGCTGTTATCGGTCCTCTTTTTTTCTGTCACGATAAGGCATTCCAGGCCACAGAGGTCACAAATCTAAATGTGCTAAACAGACTGCAGACCTTACAATCTTACAGGTATTTCAAAAACAGATGAGAGCTGAAGGTTTAGGAGGGTACTACCTCAGCAAAGAGTGAAGTGGCAAAAAAACACAAAAGGAAGTTGGTAAAAAGTGTTTCACTAGAATATGGGACTGTTTGCCTTAATATTACTTGCAAAAATGTCTAAGGAAGGTACCTAAGATAAAAAGCGATTGCCAACAGGCTTTGAATTGCTACAAAGAGGTCAAAATCTCCGTGGAAAATTCCTGCGGTATATAGAATTGGGAAGGTCAAACCCCACTAAACCAGAAGAAGCCACAAGACATTTCCCTCGTCAAAAAGAGAGAAAGAAGCGACCATAGCACTTCAGTAAAAGAATTCAATTCTAATTGTGTGACAATATGCAGAGCAATAATTAGGAAATTCCAGTTTCCAAGCAACCCCCTGTGCTTAAAGAAAAAGGACTGAAAATATTCTAGGAAAAAAAAAGTCAGCCAGCAGTGCAGCCATCAAGTACAGAAAGATGCCTTTTCTGATTAAGCTAAATAATTCCAATTTGAGAAAACCTTCTAGGAAAATGAAAAACATAGTTATCAGAATTGTGAAAATAATTTTTAATCAAGGAATATGAGGCTCCCACCGGCTGAAGTAAGCCACTAGTGACAGAAGAATTTTACACATAGATAGCCCTAAAAAAAAGTAGAAATCCAGAATTTCACCTTTACTCTAGACCAGCAATAGTCTAACTCTAGACAACTTACAGAGGCAACTGCTCTCCGAATCACTAAGTTTTGTTGATTCCTGTATGGCAGCAAAGACATGTTGTTGAAAGAAGAGAGTAAAGTGTCATTAAAAAAAGCATGCGAGCTCAGATCCTGATACAAATATTAACATTTGAAGGTCCCCACTATAACAGCCAGCTGAAGATATGCTACTATAAAAATTCTTCAGGTACAGATGCTTTGTAAAGCCTTCCATTACATGTTAGCTTGTCTTCTTCAGCAAGGTTTGCAATAGATTACAGGTATTTCCCCACTCCAAAACACCCATATCCCCATTGCAGAGGAAAGTGTTCCTCACTAGATAAAATGTATGCTAAAGGCAAATAACTTTTCAGAATTATTGGCTTATTTTGCTATATTGCATACATGTAAACATCACTAGGGACTAGGCTATTTCAAACAGCATCATCTGTACATTACCAAGAGCTCTTTAGCAATGGCTTATATGGCAAAAGAGTACTCGGGCAAAAAAGAATTATAGTGAAGGAGATTCTGTTTTATTTACCTTGATGAGTCATCGTGACAGGTTCTTCACTGGATATATTGTTGTAAATGACCACAGCTGTGGCATTATGTGAAGCTGCTCGCAGTATTTTCTCTCTAAATGTACAGTTTCCTCGCTGCAGTAAAGCAATCCACTGCTTGGTGTTCGGTGGAACTTGGAAACGTGTTCGAGGGTCACAGCCCAGGCGATCTGCAACTGAAATGGGAAACACATTTACACAGATGACAATATGTTCAAACAGGAAAAAAAAACCAAAAACTAACTCCAAGTTTTGCTGAATTTAACTGTTATGCACTAGGAAGCCACTATCCTCTCATTAATAAGCCTAAAGCTAACTGCACACTTTTGAGAAAAAAAAGTCTTTAAAAAAACCACATCTTGCACATTGAAAGCTGTGACTATATGCCCGAGAATTAGGCTCACTAACACAAGCTATTTTTAACTCTAGAGCAGCTAGAAAAATGAGTTTACATTTGAATCAATACCTGCCTAGAGGCTGAAAAGCATCAGAATATGGTTCATACACTACAGGCATTTACAAAACAGCTGTGTGCCAGTCATGGGGAGTCTAGCTTTTTTTCTTTCTAATCATAGAATGGTTTGAGTTGGAAGGGACGGTCACAAAAATTACTGCAGTGGGAAGTATAACTAAACAAAGGAGGTTATGAAAACAAGATTTCAGAGTTATCTGCCATGTGCAACCTACCATAAAAAAGGATGACAATAAAAGCTGATCTTGTAAAACCCCAGCAGCCAGTATCAGCTTTTTACGTACGCACAATTTGTCTACAAGGAAGTGCATTCAAATTCAGAGAGAAACAAATGGTTTTGCAAACATGATACACTCAAGTTGTCAGCTAAACAGGTATCGATGGTATAAAGGAGAGGAACAGAAATGGCAAATGCCAGATGTCTGAATTCAACAGCATGGAAAGCTCTTCTTTTGTCCTTTCTGATGCTGTAATGTCTCCTGGAACAACCCAAACCCACACAAAGCTATGTACAAACAGCACAAAATCTCACACAGAAGATAACTTCATGGTACAGCAGCTGAAACTGATGAAAGACATTTCTGTTTACACAATTGGAAACACAGTTTAGCCTGATACACTGGTTATATTACAGGATTTTAGAAATCTAGCACCAACAGTAACTTACAATATATTTACCCCTTCAAACACCAAGAGTATAAGAATCTTTGGCTACTCAAAATCGTTGGGATAAACAGTGATTTTTTCAAGACAAACAATTTATTTGCATAATAGCTCTGAGAACATTACAGATCCTAAGAGCAATTCAAAGGAAGTGTCCCATAACATCTTCCTTTTAAAGAAGCGAGTTCTTCAGCACAGACTATGGGATTTCAGCAAAAGGTCTACATCCACTTTAACATAACAGCTGGAAGTAAAACAGATTTTTTTTTTTTTTTTTTAAGTAATCTCAGCTTAACATAGCTCAGGTTAAAACCTATGACAAAGGGGATTGAAATAGCTAAATGATCTTTTCTAAAAGAAGAAAACCATCTTTTGCTTGCCTAAAGAAAACTAGTGCAGATGAATCTATATCGTGGCAGCCGTACAGGAAGCCGCTGCATCTCTTAATTTGGACAAGAAGTGCCTCTCCCTGTTCCCTGGAAGGAGGGTGGGGAGTCAGATATAAGCACATCCTTTCCACCATTGTTTTTCAAGGCTGTACTAGACATTGCAGACATGGAGGGCTATTTGCGGTATGTTTGTGTTTGTGCTTTTGCTTTATACAGGGATCAGGGAAAATCTGAACTAGAGATGCCCGAAGCCGAATTTTATAGAATATTTTCTGCCATTACCCTGACATTATTACTCAAATCCCTCTGAACATTGCTAGCTAACACTGAGCCATGCACATTGTTTTGGAGCGCTGGTGACAGCCATCATGAACAGCATCGATCACAGGAGTGCGCTTGAATACCGACTGCACTTTTGTAGCTTGTTTTCGTAGTCTTGAATTTAAGAGAACAGTACATTTTCTTAAAAGAATTAAAGTCCTTTTTGAAAATGTGATAGAACAATAAAGATTGTTTGCACATGTGCCGAGTTATGTCCTCTGTTAAGATAAAAGCAGTTTACTGCTTAATGCATGCCTGCCCCTTGTTCAGAATATTTCCACTTAAAAATGAGGAAGGGGGAAAGCACCAGCTGACTGCAATAAGAAGTTTCTCAAGCCTTGAAACCTAAAAATCCCACCCTTCTCCAGTAAAATTTTAGCCAAGAATCTCAGGTGTGATAATACACCCGTTTGAAAATACCATTCAATAAATGGCCACAATTCCACAGAACCTCCTCAAACTGCCAAAACTCACTCTTACAGTAGAAACTATGGCAAACAGAAATGTACTTATAATATATAGGATGGTTATAGCCCTATGTAATCCTACAGATGATGTACAGTTTGCTTCAGTACAATCGAGTCCAAAACTAAAATACCAAGTAAAGCCAAAAATGGCCATAAAAATAGGGTAATGGGCTATTACAATGAAAAATAATAAAAGCAATAAAAGGCAAAAGGCACCTTCAAAAGGGAAGCAGCATTCTCAAAAGTCAGTTACATAATTCAGTTTTATAAAAGTTCATGTAGGCACCTTTCAATTAGTACGGCTTGAAATTTTTAGCTTAAAAAAACAACAGAGAAAGCAGTAAGAGATAACAGAAACCGCATGTGTGGGAAAAGTAGTACAAAATTTTCTACCACAGCAGAGATCAAAGTCTCTCTCAGCTGTGGACAGAACTATGAAATGCTACTGGATAGATCAACAGGATTAGGAAACAAGATATTAAGAGATAAAAGCTTTCCAGATATAGACCAACAAACACCACTTAAACACATACGGCACGTTATTCCTGACAAGGTGGATTCAGTATGTCCTGATGAAAATTTAACAGCTTACTATATTATTTTAGCACTATTTAAGTACACATATTAATACAAAAACATTCAGGAAAATCTGGTTGGTTTAGATAATCCTGAACTAAGTAACTGCAAGTCACTTGACATTTAATAAAAAGTCATGACCCACTTTTCTTTACATTAGCATTCTATTTACACCACACAAAAGTGAAGCAACCTTTTCCCTTCCACCTAAATAAAATTCGAGTACAGTAGTGGAATGTGAGGTTTTTCTGCTTGCCTTTTCAATAGGCTTCATACCCTAAGAAAAAAAGTGAAAGTCTTAAAATCATAGTCATCCTTACAGCACAACGAGCTGGCTAAAATAAAACATCTGCTATACACCCAATGTGCCAGGCGCATCAGCTGTCATTGTAAGGAACACAGATAAACGAACAGAGTCAGCAAGAATCATCATTGATAGCTCTCCATTATCATGCCATCTATGCTTTGTTGTCCAGATTCCAATTAGGATCTAAAAGACTAGAGCTTGCAAGTATTACCTGGATGATGTCCACGCCAGAATGAAAAGCAGCTTCACATTAAATTAAAGTTATTCTAAAACAAGTCACTTGCACATAAAAAGGTATGATCATAAGTCACTTACGCAGTTCCATAACTTCAGAAGATATACGCATACAGAAAGCCATCTAAGTACATTTCCCTATAGGTGTGTTCCTCTTCTGCCTTATATGAAATATAAGCTCTTTACTCTGCCTTTCCCTCCTCCATATCTACCTACGTACCATGAACGTGTTGGCAAAAAAACAACTTTCTGTTAGAAGAGGCAGCCAGATGGGTTAAAGAGCTATGTACAATGTTGTTGTAAGTATCTCCCTTCCTTCTGTAAGCCTCAACACCACAGAAGAGCCTCTTTACAGAAGGATCAGCTGCGATTTAAGTATCTACAGTTAGGCTGCATGTTTGTTCTCAACTTCAGGAGACCTTCAGCGTCCTCTTGCAGAGCACAGCACTGCTCAACTTGCCTATAACTGTTTCTCCTTAAGCATTTTTTTTTTTAATTCAAGTGCCTTCCCACTGAAGAACTAACATTTATGACAGCATTTTAGGGATTCATGTGAAAGAAATAGTTAATAACACAATGGATCCCACCAGGGAAGAAGTATTGGCAACCTTACATAAGAAGAGCAGCAGTCCTTTCCTCCTCATCTTTTCCAATTGCTTGCCCAGGTCCTTTAGCCTTCCCCCCCGTAGGCGGGATAGCCATTTTGTCAGAGCAAAAATGAGATTACTAGGTCAGCTGTCAGAGGCTTTGTCAGAAGCAAGCACACACCTGCCTGAATGCAGACTGCCTCCTACTTCTGAACCGCGACTGGGTTTGCTTTCTCTCATGTACCGTGTGTTTATGTTGCTCTTGCCTTGCTTAGAACGCAGCTGTGACATCCCACTTCAGACAAGGCTGCTGCACCGACTGGTATCAGACTTTGCCTCCTTTTCACAGAAAAAGGCCAGTGCCATCATCCCACACTCTTTGGGCATTAACTATTTTATTCAACACTTTCTTCTTTTTTTCTTTCTTTTGGTTTTATGTGGGTTTTTTTTTTTAAAAAAAGATCAGATATCTTGATATTGATCTCATCTCAGCTAATACTCTCCAAGACCAGCACCAGTTGCCAGAGCTGGTCTGTCGCAGCTACACATACAGAAATCATTTTAAAGTCTGACCTTCAGTCACTGCAATACAATAGGTGGAGAGACACCACCAATATTTCGAGGGGCAGGAGACCAATGGAGTCACTGGGAAAGAAAACAGCAGCTGGGAAGATGCAGCCTCGTGCAGCCCGTGCCCCACATCGTTCCCTGCTCCAGCAGGCACTGCCCATGCAGCTGCTACGCCACACGCCCAACCGGCATTCAGCCAGCCTTGTGCAACACATTAATGATAATCCTGCGATAACATTTCCAGAAAAGGAATTCAGCTGGGAAATTTGCAGAAGCAACACAGCAGTACGGATTCTTTCTTATTTCAAGGAAGGGTACTAGTTAATTGCTATCCCGTTAGGGTTTAATACATGTAATATATACCTTTTCTTTCAATGCATTACTTGTGTTATTATACATAGAGTCCTTATTCAAGCCAGTTATTTCCACTTTTTAAAAGTTATGTCAATGAATTATGTACATAGATTTTTTTTATTTTCAAGAGCTATTTCAGGTAATTGCTTTGACTAAAGCTGGCTTTAACACTAAAAGAAACTCTTTGAACAAGAGGTAATCTTGTTTCAGGGAAGCAGTTAAACAAAAGAAAATCACTGAAGCTTAGAAGAGTCCTGTAATAGTTCAGATTTAATCTTGTTAGCTCAGTAAGTATACTACAATTATGGCTATAAACACCAATATACAACCTCCACTTTTGTTATAAATTAATGACTACTAATTAAGCTGGATACTGATACCAATGGTAAAGGATGGACGCACGGCACAAGATTCTTCTTCCACTATTCTATATTTATTGATGTATTTGCTTGTTGCATTTTCCTAAAGCTTGTTGGTTTGGATTCCGGGCGAGCAAGGAACACCAAATTCTATCTGACTGTTACCTAAAGCTCTGCAGTTACCACGAAACTGTCATTTTAAACCTTCTGCAGGTAAAACTTGTTCACACAGCACATTTTACG